CATCGAATCGAGCAGGGAAGGTGTTCATTCGATAGAGCTCGTCGAGTTCTGTCTTGGAATACCATTTTCTCTTTTTGGTATAACCTGTAGGCGAATCCCGGTGCGCTATACAAAAATGCTGGTTTTTTTTTGCTTATTTTTTGTCAGTTTTTTGGGTTTTTTTCTATGAAGGGTGGGTCTTGGAAAAAAAGTAAATAGTGAAATCGATAGATCTCGTCGAGATCTATCTTGGTATACGATTTTCTCGTTTTGGTATAACCTGTAGGCGAATCCCGGTGCGCTATACAAAAATGCTGGTTTTTTTGCTTATTTTTTGTCAGTTTTTTGGGTTTTTTCCTATGAAGGGTGGGTCTTGGAAAAAAAGTAAATAGTGGAATCGATAGATCTCGTCGAGATCTATCTTGGTATAGCCTTTTCATTGTTTGGTATAACCTATAGGCGAATCTAGTTACGGAATACTCGAATCCAGGCCCAAGATATCCTACGTGTGTACATGCGTGCTTACCTTGAAAAATTCATTGCATTTGCTTTTTCAGGTGAGTTGAGAGGATTCGTTGGGAAAATGAAGCGGTTGTTATCATCAGAAAAGCAACCGATCGCGGAGTGTATATCAGATGAGTGGAAGTTCTTATCAAGAAAGAAGTCTTGAATGCTTTTGCTAGTCTCAAGGCACGATTGTAGGTGAAAATATCAATTCGTGGTTGAGATTTTAATAAAGAGAGTTGAAACACCTTTAAAGGTATTTAAACCCTTTAAATGAACTTAAACGCCTTTAGAGGCGTTGGAACGCCTCCAAAAGGATTACGATATTTTAGCAGGCTATGTCGTAGAAACTTTTGATTCTCGTGAAAAAAACCTGTGGACACGCGCTTACCTTTGAAAATCCATTGCATTCGTTTTTGAAGGTGAACTGATTGGATTGGTCGGGAAAATGAAGCGTTTTTTATCATCAGAAAAGCGACTGATTACGAATTGTAAGTCACATGAGGGCAAATTGTTGTCTGGAAAGAAGCCTTTTGTATGCTTTCTTTTTAGTCTCAAGGCACGATTGTAGTTGAAAATATCAAGTCGCACTTGAGATTTTAGTAAAGTGGCTTGAAATACCTGTAATGGGATTGCGTGGTTTTAACAGTGCATCTTGGAGAAACTTTCATTTTTGGTGGAAATCCTTCGTAAATGCACGGTTACTTATTAAATTAGATTGCATGCGTTTTACTTCCTCAGTTGATTGGATTTGGTGGCTAAAGCTAATTTGTGGATATCAGCAATAAACCGGGTGACCTCGGGTGTCAGTGTGGGGTGTAGGTGTCGGGCGTGGGTATTAGTCGACAGAAGAGTCATACCCATACCCACCCACCTACACGCATACTCTCATTATGATCCTTTTTTGTCGTCCTAGAGTATTTTAAACCAAAATAATTATGATATTTCCAAGGCATAGTGTCGATAACGTACCTATCATGTAAACGCTTTTTAAAAAAATATTTTAGAAGTTCGCCAAAGATCAGAGCCTAACATTTTCCTTATGTGCGCAATAGATAAAATACTGTACTGTTTTTAGAAGTCATTGCGGATTGTGTATACATAATTTTATCAAAAAAATGGAGCAATAAGTGAATATAATGAATAAAGTCGCAAAACTTTGGAAAACCCGATATAATTGAATTAATTCGACATTTTGATCTTCTAAAGAATCATTTTCCAGAATACCACGAACTTGTACTATGAAGTTGAATACTATTCATAGAAGATATGAACGTCGAATCAATTAAATAATATCGAGTTTTTCAAAAATTTTGCCACTTTATTGATTGCTTTCATATATTTGCCTCTTAAACTAAATTTATTCATGAAGCAATAAAAAATGGCCTTATAGCCACTTGTCCTTCATTAAAAGAAACTAGAATTTACCATGCATATATTTGAGAAGATTGTTTACCGATGTTGGCAAGTGATTAGGCTGAGGAAGAACGGAATAGATTAACTGAAGGATATTTGATGAATATGTTTTGGAAAGGTTCGCTTGCCGAAAACAGTAACAAGAGATGTACAAAAGTCATCAATTGATACATTTGTGTACGAGTGCAATGATACAAAATCTTTTTCATCTTTTGTCGAGAACAGTTCCTCTAATAAAAACAGAGTTTCATCTAGTTCATCAACATCAGAATCATCAGGTAGTATTTTCTGATCACAATCTTCAGATAAAAACGTGCCAAAGTCAATGCCGGAGTTATCATCAAATTCAACTATTGACTCTGATACGTTTTCTACCTCTCTGATTGCAGAAGTACAATCGACAAAACTTTTGGGTTTCACAACAAGACAGGCCTTCTACTAGATTTATGTTTGTTCACGGGAAACATCATTTATTAATGAACGCCGTTGTTGATGACTATTTTCGGCATTCTTCATTGCCAACAATAACTCTTCGTTCATTCTATATAGATTCAAAAATGTAAATGTCACAAAATGTAAGATGAACACTACTTTGTTAAAAAGATAGTACCAACAGTAAGATTAACGTTTACTAGAAAACGAAGTAGATGAGTTTTTTAAAAATTTTATATAAAGAGCACTTAAACTCCGCTTCCATGCTTTGAAATTTTAGAGTTTAACTGCCTGTTGAAGATTTTTTTTAAAGGAAAAGTATTCACTTTTTTATCTCTTAATCCAATATACGTATCAGAACACCCAGTGCGATGTCGAACGATAGGTGTCATCTTAGCACAGCGAGTTTCAAGGGATCTGAAGGTCAAAAATATCTTTTCAGAATTTTCAAAAAGGTCTCCGTACGTTTCTTTCTATCTTAATAATTTTGAAAAAATTATGATATTTGTAATCAGCACGCTTAAATTAATCGAAGTAAGAATACAACTGGTAGGACAGCAGTAAAAATAGTTTTCGATATTTGAAAGAGAGCACGCATATGAAAAGTTGAACTGCAATAATGCATAAAATACATTTGTGGAAAGTAATCAGGATTCAATACTGCCTGTCAGGCATGCAATAATAGGATTAGTTTTCTGATGCATATGATTCGCATTTGGATATAACTTCCTTCTTCTAATTTCGAAAGATTTGAAAAACATTATTTGGAATCTGAAGCCTATTAGAGTCGAATTCATGAAACCGTTGCTATATTTAAAAAGAGTAGATCGTCGACGACAACGGCCGTTTAGGACAAAATATGTCAAGAAACGATGAACGTTGATTGAACCGTTTACCACTGACGTATACGATGACTTACGACTTTGTTCGATAGTCGTTTACAGTCATGGTATTTTTATGGGAGTCGTAAACGCTGTGAGTTTGCGTTAGTCGCTTATGATGATCGTAATAGACCGTAATGCATGGTTTACGATGGTTGTAAACAGCTATCGTACACGGCTGCCGTTTTCCACCGTATTTGACTGTGTACGGCCATTTACGGCCGGGCAGCATTCACCTGGGATGATATAAACTTAATCAAATAGTTCTATTATCAAGAAAATATGTATCATTCTGAGAACACGAATCTTCCATGATCATACAAGGTCGTGTACGAGACTGCATCTGAACACGTGTCTCTATGTATTTCAAACGCTTTACTCGAGAATCGAAACTTTCTAAGATGAGTTGTTTTCTCTATAACATCAGACATATATTTAAGCCACCACGCAATGACTTGCAAACACACGAACGATAGAAAATATCAACATTCAAGTGTCAAACATTTTCTACGTAGACACAAGTATATATACCAATACATAGTACTGATGGAACATGAAAACGAAATCAAAATTCCAAAAAAGAAAATGATAGTCTGATGATCAATCGTGATAAATTATTCAAGCGAACACAAACAACTGTGATTGAAGGAGTGAGACTGAACTTAAGTGACGTAATTAACCAGGCCTAGACATCACCCAGTCTTCCTACAAACAGATGACTACCGTTAAACACGTTTCCAACTTCATCTTTAACACTTTGCTACCTACGCTACTATTCATTTTATAACTAGAGTACCATAACTGAAAATGATAAAGGAGCTGCCATAGGCTATATTCATGGCGCAATACCCATAAGAATACAATGAAGCAGACCCACATATAGGGGTCTAGACAGGCAGGTTTAGGTAAAATCAGAGAGATTGGTGTAGGGATGGATGCACAAGAATAGGTAAGTTGATTCTTCTAAGGGATAAAAGTAGCGTGATATACCTGAACCGCGATAAGTTTGGTGATATGCAGTCATTAGAGTATAGATAAGAAGATATATCCATTCAAGTATACGACAGTGATACATTCAATGGGATATAGCTATGATGATATACTCCTTAGAGTAGAGGAACGATGATATACCCATATAGGTGTAGATATAGTAAGGATATAGGCGTGTGAAGTGTTGACATCTTCATTCACACCCATCCGTAGTTAGTCACTGAAGAAAAACTTTTCTCTTTTCTCTACGTTGAAAATTGGAACGAAAAAGCAAGTTTTGATTTTTTTTGCACTAAACTGATCAACACTATACTTTGGTGGTTTCAACCAATTTCAACGAACTGTAGCATGTATGGTGAATCTAGTTTTTGATGAAGTTTTCTATGAGTTACCTGCAACTCCATGCTAATTCATAGTCCGATTGGTCGCTGGTTGCAATCAGTTTCAATGATGAGGATGGGTGTGTGAAAAGAGAAACCAGCACACCCATCCCCTGAAGAAACTCACAGCATACCCACATCCTCAGTGTTAGAAATAAATTATTTGAAAAACAAGAGAAATGATTCATGTTCCTATTATTATACAGAAACAAAAAGTACTGACATCATATTGGTTTTTTTATTTCCTATAGAAAAATAAATCAAAATAACTGTTTATCAATTACTTCAAATTCATAACAACCTTACTTTCATCAACGTTCAACAACATATAAAATACGTACATAATGAATCGCTTTGGTGACATCGATGCTTCATTTAAGAGGCTTCCACCTGTTTATGGTTATCGCAGTGAAAAACCTGTTCAAATTGAAAAAGCACTTGAACCTATTGAGCCTCAAATTGATGAATTACCCTATTACATAAAGATAGCTAAACGAAACTGTCATTATCCATCAGAACATGGACTAACACGTGATCAAGCAGCTGCTGTTTACATCTATACAATGGAATGGGGTGATACTACTTTGTATCGTGTATTAAATAGAGCATTACGATCCGAAAACCGACAAGAAGTTAAGGTATGGTTTCCATACTTAAAGTTATTTGATACAGCATTGGATGCATTACCTACTGCCAAAGAGGCAGTATGGAGAGGTGTACCACTTGATATTGGCAAGAACTTCACCAAAAATCAAATTGTAACATGGTGGAGTGTTAATTCATGTTCGTCATCAGTGAATGTTATCAAAGATTTTCTTGGCAATAAAAAAAATTCAACACTTTTTATGATTGAAGCTTTGAATGGAAAAAAAGTTTCTGGATATACAGAATATGAAACAGAAGATGAAGTTATTTTACGAATGGGTTCACAATTTCGCGTGAAGAGTGATCCGTTAGAACAATCTAACGGTTCATACCTTGTGCATTTAATTGAAATCGATGACAACGATGATGAACCATCAGCATCGGCTATGAATAACATGAAACTATCCGCAGCACAACCATCAATTAAAACTACATCAAGTAAGTTATTTAAACTTTTTCTCAATGCAATAACGTTTTATATAAAATATATACGTATATATACTGAATAATTCAAAAAACGTCTGAATTCTGATTAGTGTATATATGAATAAGACAGAATTTCGGTAAATATCTAAAATTATTAAATAAATAGAGAGAATTCTGTAAGAATGCTTACTTTTTCTTGAATAGATTTTTTACAAGAATTGTTTTCATTAAGAAAAGTGTTCG